AGTTTGACAGGTAACTGAAATTGCAGGTTGGAATTGAAGAGCTGGAGTAGGAGGTTACATAGCGTTTGCAGTGGCTTTACCTAGTTACACTGAACTAAACACAACGCAATCACAGGAGCAGCATCCTAGTATTAAAGGTGTGACATTTAACGCAACATCTAGCATGACATACAGTATAACAAGCACACTGGAAAGACAGAGCATACTATTAACACTGTTGCTGTTAAATCAACAAAGGCGATGATGTGCTTTTGCTCATCCTGCACATTTACAACATTATTCAGACTTAATGTTGTTGTGCATATTGTACAACATGTTAATAATTCTGGTCATGAATTCGGTTTCGCATGAACAAAGTTCAAATTCGAATCCCTCAGTGGACTTTGATAAAACCTCATACAGTTCCACCCACAACACCTCAAACTGCCTCTGTCCTTTTACACAGAGGCCAATTTGCACCAATTTTACTGCCTCTCATGGTGGATTAAAGGAGGGTCATCACTATGCCCACCTGGTACCATTTATGCAGAACAACATGGCGGAAATGTGGTGCAATAATCCTGCCTTGAACAGACAGTGTAAAGGGGGCTTTTATGATAAGACAGTGACTTCTAGAAAATCTTTTGGATAAAGGCGATATGATCAGTTTGTGGTGAACAGTCAAACCACTAATGTATTTTGACTTTTAAATGAATATGCCAGTGAAACAGAAAACAAACGTAGCATGCAAATGTATTAGTAAATAAGGTTAAAGAGGGGAAGCTGATGAAGCTGGTGTACTCTGCACATCTGAAGGACAGCTGGAAACTGTACCTCAAACCAAAAACACTGAGACAAAATATATTAATTAGGGTATTAAATTACTGAGGTCTTGAAGTTGATGTCACAGCCTTTTACATGGAGCAAACTGGTAACCAGAAAATAAGGTTCTGCTCGGGTACAGAATCTATTAATTGATAAATCTATTTATTTATCAGCAACTTAAAGGTCGTGGAGAAAAAAGATAAACAAAAAAATTTATATAAACAATTGAATTATTATTTAAAAAACTGCAGATATTCTTTGAGACGTTTTATTACAACATGTCTGCAAATGCAGGCTCCTCACAAAGTCAACAACTGAACTGAACTCATGAAGTAACTAGAGGCGTCAGTGAAGGTGGGGGTGGAGTGTTTGCTGTTAGCTTATGTCAATATGGACTCAAGTCCTGCTGCATTTATAATTGAGACTTAATTTCTTTTTAACACCTCAGAAGTGTCAGGGGTGTTGTCTCCTATGTCGCTGCATCCTGCTGTCACCAAGTCAAGTATATAAACAGCTGAACAGGGGCAGCACAAGGGCTGCTTTTCCATAACTTGCCATGATGTCTCTCTGCATCTTTGAAGCTCAGGTGACACAAATAGTCAGTCAAACTATATATGACTGAAAAAAACCACTAAATTTGTATTTGTTTGTGGACCATAGGTGTATTATCTCAATCCATGTTATTACCACAATATTATAGTTTTATTGGCTTCAGGTGTTGACTTTCTATCTTGTCTAGTGTGCCTAAAACACTGCAGATGAAGTATGATCACAATAATAGACCAAAATTAAACTGTTATGGTTGTATATGTTAGTAAGCATATTAACTGACTCCTTGATAGCTTATCCTGGCCACACTCAAATCAGCCTGAAGTGAACACTGTTTATTTAGGTTACAAAGGCATAAAAACTTCAGCAAGCCCATGAATTTTCTCTCATTAAGCTCCTACAATTCCTCTGAACTCGGAAAGTTAATATGCAGTAAATGAGTGTAAAGTTAGAGTGCCATGCTGGGCAGAGAGAGCGGCTCTGATCACAGAGGGCCTAACAGTGACGTACTGACAGCTTTCACAGCTAATGAACAGATGATCTCACACAGCCTCACTACGCTAACGAGAAGCTAATGGACAGTGGAGCTGATGACTGTAAAGTGGGCCTCTAGTGTAAACAGCAGAGGCAAGGAACCATCACTTTGTCTCACACACACTCTAGCCCAGTGACATTATATGCTGTTTCACCCTCCCTACATGGAAGTTAAAAATCAGACAAAAGTTGAAAGGCTGCTTCGTTTTAAAAGCAGCTTGTACCGACATCAGCTATAGCACACAAACACCCCGACACACACAGCCTGTATAAGAGAGAGGGAGAGAGGGTCTACACAGATCCAAGTCTATCAGTAACAGGCTGTATCTGTATAAACAAATGTGACTTCATGCATGCATTTGTTTTATGGTGTGTATGTGTGTGTCAAACTGGGTGTGTGTTCACAGCTAATCACCTAAAAAGAGGAGGTTAAAAAGTCATCAGAATACAGCTCTCACACTGTAACTCCACAATAACACGTCATCAGTGTGTTTCTGTCTGTCTGTATAACTATGTGCTTGCAAGGGCAGAGACACACCAAGCCGACGTGAAAGACCTAGCAGCGACGATGGCCGACTGTTGTGTCGCTTCACATCAACTTTGCCTGGGCCAGTCAGGTTGAAAAAGGGGCACTTGAACACACTGGACAGACAACAGCCAATGGCCGGCTAGTGCGTACAATCTGCGCCTGCGTGGCACACTCTCTGCATCTTTGAAGCTCAGGTGACACAAATAGTCAGTCAAACTATATATGACTGAAAAAAACCACTAAATTTGTATTTGTTTGTGGACCATAGGTGTATTATCTCAATCCATGTTATTACCACAATATTATAGTTTTATTGGCTTCAGGTGTTGACTTTCTATCTTGTCTAGTGTGCCTAAAACACTGCAGATGAAGTATGATCACAATAATAGACCAAAATTAAACTGTTATGGTTGTATATGTTAGTAAGCATATTAACTGACTCCTTGATAGCTTATCCTGGCCACACTCAAATCAGCCTGAAGTGAACACTGTTTATTTAGGTTACAAAGGCATAAAAACTTCAGCAAGCCCATGAATTTTCTCTCATTAAGCTCCTACAATTCCTCTGAACTCGGAAAGTTAATATGCAGTAAATGAGTGTAAAGTTAGAGTGCCATGCTGGGCAGAGAGAGCGGCTCTGATCACAGAGGGCCTAACAGTGACGTACTGACAGCTTTCACAGCTAATGAACAGATGATCTCACACAGCCTCACTACGCTAACGAGAAGCTAATGGACAGTGGAGCTGATGACTGTAAAGTGGGCCTCTAGTGTAAACAGCAGAGGCAAGGAACCATCACTTTGTCTCACACACACTCTAGCCCAGTGACATTATATGCTGTTTCACCCTCCCTACATGGAAGTTAAAAATCAGACAAAAGTTGAAAGGCTGCTTCGTTTTAAAAGCAGCTTGTACCGACATCAGCTATAGCACACAAACACCCCGACACACACAGCCTGTATAAGAGAGAGGGAGAGAGGGTCTACACAGATCCAAGTCTATCAGTAACAGGCTGTATCTGTATAAACAAATGTGACTTCATGCATGCATTTGTTTTATGGTGTGTATGTGTGTGTCAAACTGGGTGTGTGTTCACAGCTAATCACCTAAAAAGAGGAGGTTAAAAAGTCATCAGAATACAGCTCTCACACTGTAACTCCACAATAACACGTCATCAGTGTGTTTCTGTCTGTCTGTATAACTATGTGCTTGCAAGGGCAGAGACACACCAAGCCGACGTGAAAGAACTAGCAGCGACGATGGCCGACTGTTGTGTCGCTTCACATCAACTTTGCCTGGGCCAGTCAGGTTGAAAAAGGGGCACTTGAACACACTGGACAGACAACAGCCAATGGCCGGCTAGTGCGTACATTCTGCGCCTGCGTGACAAAAATAACTCCCCCTCAGCAGGTCGCGGTATCTATTTGTGATTCAGAAAGGGAAAGAAGAGCTAGAGAGCGGAAATAAAAGCCGTAAACAAAGCAGCTGTTGATCAGCACAGCTGCTGTTTATACCTGATTCTAATGGAGAATATGTCTGATAAGAAATTGCAAATGGCGCTGGTGTTCTTTGCCCTTGGTCTTTTGGTTGTGAAGAAGAAAGGAGGTTGTGGAGGTGAAAAACAAGGAGAAACCAAATGACATTGGTATGTCACAGCCCTAAGACAAAACAGGAGAGCGGGAGGATGACAAGAATTTCTGAGGTAAAGAATTTACTTCCAAAAGCCAAACAACTAAAAAAGATTTTCTATTTTGCGCAGATTAGCAGCATTTATGTCACAGTGGCAGCAGGGTAAGTAAAAATGCCAAGCTACAGTTCATTCTCCTTCGCCATGTCCCCAACAGCCCTTGCAGTCCTCTCAGATCATCCTGATCAGATGCTGAACCAAGTGAACTGACCATTTTCAACCATTTCCAGAAACCAATAGAAGTTTCAGACTCCTGCCTTTAGGGAGAATGTATCAGTGTCTTCAGGCCCACTCCACCAGACTTACAAACAGCTTTATCCACCAGGCTGTGAGGATGCTGTCCATTACCTCACCCCCTCTGCCCCTGGACTGGGACCCACCATAGAACATAAAAAGAGTACCTCTGCTGTTTTGCACAAACTCAGTACATTCCCCCTTTTTGTTATATTATATGTAAATCATCATATCTGCTGCTGTTGATCATTTGCACTACTGCCCATGTACATCTCATACGCTATTATGCACCTCATCACCAACACCCCTGGTTATGCTGACCACCTGACAATCTTCTTATTATTTGCACTACTGTCATTGATTGTACATGGGTTTGATTCATAGCCTATTAGGTTGTACCATTTAGATTTATCCTAATTACTTTAATTTAGTTGTCTTACTCTATTTTATTCTATTTTCATTCAACTTTTATTCTATTTTAGTTTCATAAATGGTATGGGCATTCAAAATTGGTGAGAGAAACAGTATTTCGCTTTTTCTGTTATGTCCTGCACATATAGTGAATTGACAATAAAAATCTTTGATCCTTTGATCCTTGAAGTTCATGTCAGACAAGCGGCTTCTCCCAGTCACCCATGTTCAGCTTTCTCTTGTGTTACTGACCTGGCTGTAAGTGGCGTCAAGAAGTGTGTCCAGGTTCTGCAGGGGTGCCGGGGTTTTGTCTTTGAATCTAGTCAGCAAGCGGCGCTGGATGGCTCTGAACTGGACGGCTCGCTCTGACAGCAGGTCCTGGTACTGCTGAGCATTGACACGCAGCTAACACACAAACACAAACAAATATAGTCTGACTTCCTATCAGACAAAAAAAGTCACTCAAACAGATAAAACTCCATGGGCCCTCATGCAAAACAGTAAGTAGGAGCAAAAAAAATTGTAGACTAAAAGAACTATAACTTAACATGTACGAATACAACACAGTCATAAGGGTGAGAGTGAGCACTCCTGTGTTAGCAGCAACAACTTGAATATATGCCAGAAGCTAAGCTGCAGCACTGGGGCTTGCGAGGTGTAGCAGTTCTGTGACTGATGTGGAGGCACTGAGGTTTGCACGTTTGTACTCATGCTGCCAGTATGCAGAAGATTTGTACTGTAATGACTGTGATTTTATAACAACAGTGGACTGTATGCGGTTTAATTCAAGTTTCTGACCTCTGACATTGGTGGATTTACAGCAATGTTTGCCATCTGAATAGATATACTCATGAACTGGAATGTCAACTCTGTGTGTATGTATGTGTGTATGTGTGTGTGTGTGTGTGTGTGTGTGTGTACCTGGAAGTGGTGGTCTACACACAGGAAGTACTCCTGCAGCGGGAGTGGTCCACTGAAGCTTTTCTTGAAGTCCTTCACTCCCACTTTGGAAAAATGCTGGTCGAACCTCTGAACCAACTCCTTCACCACCAACCACATGTCCTCAAAACTGTCACTCTGAATACGATAACGCTCTGACAAACAAACGCATGGACAGACTCATTTACAGAGGGACTGGGTAATAAAAAATATCACTGAAAATTATATAAAAGACTTTTAAAAGTTGTTAAAGAATCACTAAAAGTGCTATAGTTATTGCTCTTTCATAATGATGTATTAATTCCTTTGTGAATTAATGCACATTAATTTGACTTCGGAAGGAAAGAGAAATGTACATTTTATGGATCAGTAGCAAAAGGTTGTGAAGAGGTACAGTATTTAAAGATAATAAAATGTTTACACAGGTGGTAACAATGAAAGATTAGAGTATCTGTGGTAACAGGTGATACTGAAAGATACCAAAAGGTTCCTATGAGCTAGAAAAAGTATCAGGAGGTACAGTATTAGGGTATCAAGGATGAACATGTATGAGATTTTGAGTGTGAGTTCTTAGTGAACAGGTATTAATGAGTACTGGAAGGTTTAAAAGAAACCAAAAGGCATCATTATCATATATCAGGTATCATAAGGAACAAGATGCTGTCACATTATCTGCACTATCAGTTTCATGAAGGATTAATGTTTCTTTAATAATAAGTTTTTTTAGGAACTGCAAAAGGTTCAGAAGGTATCAAAGGTTAACAAAAGGTACGTTAATCAGAATCACAGTGAGGAATCAAAAGGTAGTGAAATACATTATATCAAAGATGCATCAAAATGCCAAAAACATTACTGAGAATGACTAAACGCCATCAAGCAGTACAGATACCGCCTGAAGGTGAACCAGTGTCTTACAACAATCCTATTCACTGTGCAGTGTTGTAGTCAGACTCACGGGAGGTCTTGGAGGCCAGTACAGTAACACTGGCTCCTGACAGAAACTGGAAAGCCAAGCTATTCCCATCCTTATCTTCTGATTTAGCTGAGCATGCTGCAGAGAGACAGAAAGACAAAGAGCAGAGTGATGAGACTGATAGGATGCTCAATCACAATGCAGGGTGAACAAGATAGTGTCACACTGCTCACAAAGACACACAATTTATCCTCTTTACAGAAAAGCACACAATCAGTATGAACAGTGAGTGTGTTTAGACATCAGAGCAGCTGACTGTAGCGATCCTTAGATAAGAGGGAAGCACAACAGAGATTCTCAGGGTTCAAGCAAACACATGCACAGTCATAAATAAATAAACATGCACAAAAACATTTGTATAGATATACACACAAAGATAACAGTTGAGTGCACATGCTCAGCTACACATCTCTCTCACTCCCTCTCCTAACTGTCCGTCCGTGCTCATGCCGCTCGACTTTGTGTAACACCACATGTGGCCACAGGGAGCAGCCAGGTTTAGTGCCTTGCTCAATGGCGCTTCAGCATGTGGAGAAGATGAGCTGCAGACTGCAACACCAGCTACCCACAGAGCCCCAGCTAGCCCATCGTCTGAGCACTGCACATACTGTACAATTCTCTGAATACATTTTACGGTGAAAAAACTGCTCCCACCCCAGAAATTAAACCTGTGCCACCAAGGTAACAATCACAGTTAAATTTGCAGGTTACCTGATACACACCTGGGCAGAGAGAGAGATATTTTTGACCCATACAAAACCACTGCAAAAGAAACAGCTGTAAAAATGCATTAGTGCCTAATAGCTGCATGTTAATTTTTAATGTTTTGATGACACTTTTAAAAAGGCGTATGACATGACATTTTGCAGCTGGAAGCACAATTCCGTCAAATGCAATATTATATGAATTACATTTATGGTTTCATTTACACTGTCAATTTGTTTTTTTCATAAACTCATCTTGCATGTACACAGCCATGTACACACAAAAGAAGCTGTAGTCAGACTTTGGGATAATCAGTTAATCCTTCCAATTGCATAAAACCTACTGGGCCGCCTAACCTGAACCTGCAGAAATGAATCCGTTTAACAAACATGGCCAACATCACACAGCTGCCAAAGGATTAAATAAGACAACAAGACAATGTGTTTCAGCTCACAGGAATTTAACAGTTCAGAACAATTCAAAAGCAGGGCCTTCATGGTTTGGGACACTGAGAAAAGTGGCAGCACACAGCATCAGTATGTGTGAGGGTTTGAATGTGTGGGTGTGTGTTACCTGGGAATATGGATTTGAGGTCGACCGGTGGCTGGTTGGTGTCCACAGTGATCTTAAACTTTGTGGTTTTGGCTGGAGAGGAAGGGGCACAAACCAGCGCCAGGGGAAGACTGAACCTGGACTGGAGAACCCTGGGAACTCCTGAGAAAACAAGGATACATCAGAATTTTAAATGTTTTTTTTTCATGTTGAAGTTTTAACCAATTCAGTCCTTTCTATTCTGTAGCAAAGCTGTAGAGCTGCCAACTCCTGTGGAGGATGTAGACCCCTACAACACTCAGAGGCACTAGCCGGTCATTTTTTAGTTGACAGTAGTTACCTTTATAGTTATCATTTCTTCATTATATTAATAATGATAAAAATAACTGATTCATTTGTCATGATGTCATAGAACTCTCCAATCTCCCTCATCCTGGAGCTCTTTTCCTAAAAGCCAAAGTCACAGCCTCCTTCCTCTCTAAGTGGCGCCCATCTCCGCCAAAGTCCCCTGTGGTGAATCAAATGTGGTCGACACATCACCTTCTAGACTTTCTCTCCAAACAGGTCAAGTTAGCCTTTGTTACCACAGTCAACATTACAGATGTTCAGATTACATGAGTATCTGAGAGCTACGAGACCAAGAGACTCAACATCAACACAGAGTGCGAAGGGCTGTTTGTCAAACATCCGAAAGGGAAGTTGGTGAAAAGTGGGGGGAAATTCTGAGAAGAAAAAAAAAGTGAGGCAGAGGAAAGTAAAGAGCAGCTGTTGTACTGTAACTGTGTTCTGAGCTTAAGCAGTGCTGAGCTTGGCAGAAATATACTCAGCTAGAATAACAGACTGAGGGAAAGGAGGGATGGAGGAAAACAGTTGTTAAGAAGAGATGGAGCGAGAGAACCTGGAGAGAGGAGGTGAGCTAACGACTGGGGAGGGAGTCGACCTGAGTCAAGCCCAAAAATGAGTGGAAATAAACCAGCATGAGAGAGAGACTAAAAGAGAAATAATATGAGGAGCGACAGCCAGGGTGGAAGGGAGGGACAGTTTAATTATGGAACATTCCAGCTTATTACAGATAGTAATAATTACCTGAAACTACTGTGCACCTTTTCATTCTAGACAAGCAATTATTATGTGATTATGTGAATAATTCAATTTTGCTTGAATACAAGAACTGAGGCAGGGAAAGAAGAGGGGAAGAGGTAAAGCCAAAGAAAACAGCAGAAAGGCACGGAGAGTAAAGGAGAGAAAAAGAAGATGGATAAAGTTTTAGAGAAAGAAAGAGTGTGGTCCACTTTCTTCTCTCCTCACCCACTGACTGACTCAATGACTGCTCATTCTGAGAAGTATAATTATAATTATGTTGATATAATATTGTTTTACTGGCGGGGGGTTGGCTACGCAGAGCGAACACACTGACAAAGCGACTATGCAACGAGTTTACGCAATGCAACATATTTACTCAATATCAGAAGTGCAACCATCATTCTAAATGCTGTGAACAAAGCTTGAATGCTCCTGCAAAAGAATGATGCTCATCTAACAGCAGATTGAAATCTCACAGTATGAGTTTTTCAAGTTTTTATCCTCATTCCAGTTAAAGGGGGATACTTACTAAGCTTGTGCAGCTCTTTTTTGGTGCTCAACACTGAAATTGCGTGTATTCATATTTACTGAGGAGTCACAATTGGGTTTTGCAATATGCATTTTAAAGCGTTCCAGTTCAGAAGCACAACATGTGACAGAAGCTAATGGAAATGTATACAAATACCCTCAGTGCCTGATTTATCACCACTAAAAGTGTGGCAGCGGTTAGCCATCAGAGACCTCTTGGTAGTTAAGAACATGTCTGAGGAGGGAGAGGGTATTTGTAAATCGCATCACTTGCTGAACAAGAATGTGAAGGACTTTTACAGGCTTTTGTGTCAAAACTTGCTTCAACTACTAGATGAAATAAAAGATGACTGGAAATATCTTCTGCACCTGATAGAGATTTGCAACAGGTTTAGTTAATATCCCCCAGAGTATTTCTACTTAACCTTTCTGAAAACCATTTTTAAGCACTACTGTGTTGTAAAGTAACTGACAGTAATCAGAGCAGACATGACATAGGCTACACTGCCTGCTCAAGCAGGCTTCAAGTCTCTTCAAGTTTAATTTCATGAGATTCTGAAATGAATAAAACCACTGGCTGTGGAAAAGGAATGAAAAACATGTATTAGTAGTTGGTGCTAAAATGGTCCATCAGGGATCACAAAATGTTTTATGGATAAAAGGCAGAAGGCAGTAAATACTTAGAACAACTTTAACTACACTTAAATAGAAACTGGGACCAGTGGTTGAAGCCAATAGGTTCTTAGTGGAGCCAAGAAACCAAATAGGCACACTTTGACTGTACCTCTAATGTATAAAGGAAATGTGAACCTATCTTTAGGGAAAATTAAATGTGACTTATACAGTCTAAATATGGACTTTCGTCCTTGGTGACATTAGGGCTGCTTATTGTAGAAATGTTTATGCAGGTCCCAGTAAGAAAATGATCTTGGAAGGTCAGTGTGAGCAATAAAAACCATGAATATAAGGAATTATCAGTCATCGTAATACTGCACAGTGGTTTATCATACCATTTATAAAGTAGTCACATCAACAATCGTTTTATTCTGCATCTTGATGACTGTAAGATAAACAGATGAATGTTGCCTGAGGATGTTTTTGGACACAGTGTGAACACAAAAGAAACATTTCACACAATTGCTTCAACTGTTCCTGTTGTGATTTCACATGGACAGGGACAACAGGGACAATGCTTCAGTTCAGAAACTCTAACCCTCACCCCACAGTGAAACTGAGGCCAAAGAATGAACAAGTGGCTTTACACCATTTCTCAGCTACAATAAACTGAAGTTATCCTGCTTGTCTGACAGATTATTCATTCAATTCATTTCCTGTACTGAGCTTTTACATTCTGCAATCTCCTGTTTGGGATGTTTAAAATTTAAAAGTGCAGATTCACCTGAATCCACAGAAACATCATATTCTGTAACATCTGACCCCTGACCTTCCTTCTAAACTGGTCACGTGGAAGATGAAGCTTTGTCTGGCTCCACCGTTACTAATTGTTAAAGCGGCTGTACCTCCACAGGACTGTTGCCTCACAGGTCCCTGATTCCAATTATCTGGACTATGGGTACATGCACATTTGTGTGTCTGTCTGTGTGTGTGTGCATGCACGTGTTTGAGACAGAGCGAAAGAGAGAGCGACCACCGAGTTTATTTGAGTAGAGGACGACTGTACATGATCAGGTTTGTACCACAGCGAGGTCAGCTATGTGTGTGAGTGTGTGTGTGTGTGTGTGTACACAGTGTATGTGATAGACCCAATATCTGAGTATCAAATGTGTGTGTGTGGATGGATACTGCACACAGTTCACTCAGTGCTCATTCTTTGTGTGTCTATCTGTCATTTCCTCTGTGATACACACAGACACCATAGTCTTTGTTGAGTAAAATTATTAACGAAGTTATACTCTAAGGTTGGTTCTAACATTTGATTGAATTAAGTACTTATTTAGTAGAAGATTGACACCATGACGTTTGTTCATTTAACCTGTGTTCAATTTGTTTGTGCATAACTATTCTATCATATTAGAAAAGGAATAGTTAAGATTATATTTTAGAATACATAAATTCACATACTTACATGTCACAGATATGTTTATGAAGTTACTATTCACCACATTATATGTTCACTAACATGATGAGAAAATAAGTTACTGTACGCATACTGAAAAACTATGTGTGATATTACAGGCCCATGAGATTAAAAGTGTGGTGCACTGAGTAGCTTTCCAAGGTCTTATCATCCCACGGGATTCCATTCGATTTGTTGCCTTTTCTCCACAAGAGCTCATTATTCCCTCTGAGCTTTGAAGCCAGGGGAGTTAGAGTTTGATAAGATACTAAGATTCATACCAAAGTTATAATCAGATTTTGGCCTAGAAGAAACAGCTGTCTGGTAAAATAGCTATTTTCATACACACACACACACACACACACACACACAGGCAGTGTCAGATCTTCCTCCCTGTCTAGGAAAACCGTCTTCCTACATTGGAGCAGGAGAGACCTGGATGGACGGACTGAGGGACCAATGAAACAGCACGAGAGGCATCAGATCAACTTACTTTGCACATTTCAAAATTGTATAAGATATTGGGTTTCCAGGAGGGTAGGCGTTCCCTCTCGTCCTGAAGACGAGTTGAACGGTTTTGCTGTTGAGGGTCAGGGCTTCAGATAGAGACAGAACCCAGAGCTCTGTAATTGCTTTTCTTTAACATTGTAATAAATATTTTAAAGGTTGTTCTGACTTCGACTCTTCCTCAGAAACGAACATGCAGGACGGTTAAGTCCAACATCTTCAACAAATTGTGCTCATGTGCAGCTATTCCGCATTAGTGATTTTTCTTAAACGGTCATGTTCAGAGCCAGAAACTCCCAGCTGATGGACATACAGTACAGTAAATGTTATCCCTTGACGCATGATGACCACAGTTCATGTCCCTTACAGTATATTAGTAATCTCACATTTCTAGTCTGTAATAATAACCAATGGCTTTTACTAAACTTCAGCAAATCATTCAGTGTTGACACAACACTTTCCAAAATTAATACAATAAATAGACTCAAGTATTTAATGCCACTCAAAGGTGTGGGACAACAAGCCCACTGTCAAACAAACAAGGTTTTAAAGAACATTTTCATGTTGACTCAACTGATGCACGTTGATGGAACTATTAAACAGCTTTCTGTGACACAATTATGTGAATCTACACACCGCCGACGACCTGCTATCCAGTGCTTCTGTGACCTAAATAACAACACTTAAAACATGGCTCGCATTGTACTCACCCTATACATGCGGAGACATGACCAGAAATGTTCGTTTACACTTCCAGCTTCTTTCCTGTGTTCTACAAGTGTAACCACAGTGGTTGTGTACTGAACTCTGCATGCCTCTGAAGCACGGGTGGCCTACACTCAGCACTGTGCCTGGATACCTGGATGCAACCCGCTGCTGCTGGCAATCGTAATAAAAGATCCACAACAGCACACATTTTATTTGATGAATGTGTTTTCTGCCAGTACTGACTGATTCCATCATGCAC